CATTGAACAGCGCTGACGACCCGGTGAGTAGCAAATTTTAAAAAAAGAACGTTTAAGGTTGTTTTAAGGACATCATCGGACATGCACTATGGAAGCCATTCTGAAGCAGCCAGGGGGGGATTCTGCATGAGCCAAATAGCAGAGACAGGACCAATTGTCAAAATTTTGGTGTTGATCATTCGATTTCATCCTGGACACTACAGAAAATGGGCTAAAAGTGTTAAAAACCGGAATTCTCCTTTAAGATGTAATGATTTTTGAGAGGTTTTTACTCTGCAGCAGATTCTACGGGGTTTCCAATCAATTTTGTGGCTCTCTTTATTTTACCACTGTCATTAACTCTTTATAGGGCAAGTTACCATTTTTGATCACTTGCATACCCCTTAGAAATGGAGCCCCTACTTTTGTTATTTTTCCTAATATATTCGGGCAAGTTGGCGTTTCTTGTTGTTAAATTGACATTCATTTTTTCCATCAAAATATCCATATTTTTTTAATGTTACAAAGGTAACAAGGTAATGATCTAAAAATTAGGGAAAATGTCTTAAAATAAGTGTATTTATCCTTCATTTGAGTAAGTAAATAAAAAAAATCTCCCAGTGGAAGGAGCATTTTTATCCATAAAATCAGATTATTTTATATTATGCACTTGAAATAGGAGACTGCATTTTTTCCCCTTATTTTAAATGTGAATTTTCTTATTCCATTTGCAAAGTGTCTCACTTACCTGTTCAATTCAAGAAAAAATGCACTTATTTTAGGAAAAAATGAAGTACTTAGATTTAAAGTTTTTGCAGTGCGCTTTTTGCTTGTAAGTTAGATATTTGAAGTCTTTCACTGAGTGCCCTATAAAGGGTTAATCAGAACAGAAAGTTAGATAACTTTAAATAGTAATTTATTAATCATAGCAGGCTGTGGGCGTCTATCACTGGAAACTCTGTTGGAGAGAAACACAGGTTAGTGACCACGATAATCTGATGGAGGAGGATGATTATCCCTGTGAGTCACTAACCTGGTTTACAAGTTCAGTCCATCACCAGAGAAGGAGCTAGGATCCACGCAGTGGGCTGCAAACAGCTCCAGAGAACATGCAGGAGTCCGAAGCGAGGTCAGGCAAACGGATCAGAACAGGAACAGGCAACCTCAGAGATCCAGGAGACTGAAGACGGTTCAGGCAAACCGTTCAGATGGAAACAGACAGGCTCAGTAGTTGAGAGGCAGAACAGGTCAGGATCACGTCATCAGAAACACTATGGGGAGCTAAAATTCCTCTCACCACTGGCCAGCGAGACGCATAGAGGCAGGAGCAGGTGAATGGAATCAATAATGAAGCCAGCTATTAGTGCCAAGATCATGACAACTACATGGAATTCAATAAAACACGTGAAATGAAACCGATTTAAGGCTAAACAGCAGGTAAGCGGCTAATTTGTCCAAATATCTGGCGGCTATTCTGATGTTTTCTGTTCAGCTCGATCGAATCAGAGTTTCCAGTCGCGTCATAAAAGCTGCACGCCACTTATTACCTTTCCATGTTGGGTCCCGTCCAGTCCAAAGTCCTGCCTCAGGTGATCTGATGAGCAGCTAATCAGGAGGTGGAGTCACATTTCCAGATATGAATTAAATGGATATCATAAAAAAATCCCTAGTTTTATAACTAATTCCATTCCAACATTTTGTTTTTATTAAGGTAAAGATTTCCCTTCAAATATATTTTAGTTTTTTACATCTGTATTTAAAACAGACGGAATAATAATTAGTTGAAATACAATCTTTTTTTTTTTTTAGTTTATTTTCAGAAAGCCCTTCATGTTATTTAAAGATCATTGAGAGAACTCTTACTTATCAAATAATCATCAGTCGACTGAAAAGATCAATAAACTTTCGGTTTATTGATTTGTTAATTAGTAACTTGAATAAACCTGTTTGCTGATTTGTTTCTCATTTCTTCTTTTTTT